TTTAGGGCTATTTGAATTAAGAATAACTGATTTGTTATTCTCATAAACCCAGAACCAGCACCAGGGCTCGTATGGCCACATCAAAATGCAACACCAAAAAGGAATGGTCAGAAAGTGATGAAATTTGGAAAAAAGACAGAGACAGCAAGCAGCAATAAGTAATCTATTTCAAAATGATAGTCAGAATACAGAGTGAAAACGGCATCGGCTCAGTAGGATAAGCGATAAGCGACGGAGGACGTGGGCACTGTCCCTTTACCATTTAGGTTAATGAGTACAGCACCACGTCCACCTTTATCTTACGTTTCATATTACATTATATATTACGTTACATGATTTACACATTGCATTATATACTACATATCAAATTAATACCTTATCCTAACATTACATTAACTTCACATCAACTTATTACATTTAAAATTCTTTTCTAATAAACCCTATATTGGTATATTATAAAAGGGTTATTTTGCACAGGATTCGCATTAGACACAGGATACGCATTATATTATAATTATACACTGGGTACACATTACATTATATATGGGGAAATTAATGATACATAGGAACATTATACGCAATAGGGGGTTATAAGCACGATACGGGTTAGATTATTCACAGGAAATTAGTTATACACAGGTATTGCATTATACAGGATAACTTACGGTTCAGTAGGATGTAAGACCACCACGGACAGCGATGCACGAAGAAACACGTCTAGGCATAGAGTCAATAAGATAGCGGATGGTGTCCTGAGGCATGGCTCTCCATTTCCTTTCAACCATTTGCCACAGTTTGTCTTATGAGCAAGGCAGGGACAGAGTCTGCAAAAGGCATCCAATCACATCCCACACATGTTCGATTGGTGACAGGTCAGGAGAGTATGGTGGCCAGGGAAGCATCTGTATACCTTGCAGAGCATGTTGGCAGATGCGAGCATTGTGTGGTCGAGCGTTATCCTGCTGAAAAATTGCATTAGGCAGCCCCTGAAGGTAGGGGATTGCCACCGGCCGCAGCACATTATCCAAGTATCATTGGGCTGTCATAGTGCCCTGAATACGAACTAGAGGTGACCTGGAATCGTAGGAAATAGTGCCCCAAACCATAATGCCACATTGTCTCACAGTGGGGCATTCCACAATTAGTGCCGGATTAGATCTGTCTCCTAGTCGATGCCACACACGTATGCGGCAACTGTCACTGGATAAACAGAAGTGTGACTCATCTGAGAACACGGCGTTTCGCCATTCTGTGATCCACATCGCTCCAGTCCGGCACCATTCTAAACGTTGGCGTCTATGCTGTGGGGTCAATGGCAGTCTTCTTAATGGACGTCGTGAGTGCAGGCCACGTTCAACCAATCGACGGGAAATGGTTCTGGTCGACACCGGAACATCCAGGGTATCTTGCACATGCTGCAGAATCGTGGTACAAGTAATTTGCAGGACCGCCACAGCTTGTTGGCGGATGTGTCGATCCACGCGTGCTGACATCACTCTGGCGGCACCTGCACCCTCTTCTTCCCACATTTCCTTGTTCCAACCATGTTCGCCATAGCCGATGCATTGTGCTCACATCCATGTGGTTATCAGTTGCAATTTGACGTAAGGACCAACCTGCCCTTCTCAGTCCGATCACCATACCCCTCGTAAAATCGTCTATCTGCTGGAAGTGCTTTTGTTGACGGTGGCCTGGCGTTCTCTCCTATTACACGTATCCTCCGGGACAACTTTCTTCGATAAAGTCCGGGATCCTCCAACTTTCTTCGATAATTCATCTGGCAGAAATAACGACACGAATATTGCCCATTCTGCTTGTTCCTCTCCTTATATCTTACTTCACGTGCGTCGGAGAGCTGCGCATTTCACATCATTCACATACTCAGTGACGTGCGTCTACTCTGAAATTTGCATAAATTTCTGACCACTCATTCTTGGTGTTGCATTTTCAATGTGAAGCAGTGTAAATAACTAAACTAATACAATTCAGGCTTAATTGTCTCAGTGCTCGATAGAAGCAAGATAAAATTTAACAGAACAACTTGTCGTTAGTCACCAAACTCAAGATGCATAGCAAAATATGTATGGTGAAGGATAGCTAAATTTGATGATGATAGCCGCGAATTTTAAAGGTTTTTCGATATCACAAAACAAAGGTGAAATTTTCCAATTAGCGGATTTTGTAAAGAAATGTGGAGAAGCAGTAATAAATGAAGATGATATAAAAGAAGTTTTTCATTGTGATGACAATGCTTCTCAATCATCAATCAATTAATGAATGGTGAAATCTGTAGTATGGTTCTAGATCCAGAAAATACCCCTACCAATTGTACAGAAAGTGACAAAGAAGTTACTGAAAACGAGAAAATTTTGATTGACAAGTTAGTCGGAATTCTCAGAACAGCAGTTACAGGACTTCAAAAATGTAACTAAACAAGAGACTATGTCTGTTTATAGAATTAAAGAGAAAGTATTAGCACAAAAAACGAAGCAACTTAAACAACTTACATTGAAAGAAATGTTTAATAATGTAAACAAATAAATATTTGTTTTTCTTATATACCCTTTAGATCATAAACACTTCATTATTTCATAAATCACGATTTCATATTTTTAATTTTATAATTTCTATATGCCATCTTACTAGGTTTAAACTGATGATCTAATATCCGAAAAAATCCCAAATCCAGAATCGCCGAATTCCTGACGAGTCCGGATTTTGGACTGTATTTACAAAAAATATTTATTGGTCTTGCTAAAACATTTGTAATTCCAATGTCACCAAATCCCAAGTGTACCGTATACTAGAATTAAACCAAGCATGCTTGGAGATGAACAAAAATGTAAAACCATAACAAACAGTTCATCAGAACTTTTATAGGTAATGAATTTCGTTCACAGTTTCTATTATTTTGATATCAACATTTATTAGTAATTTATCAAATCCATTAATTTTATCGTTTTCCATGAAAAGTGTTCATATTTCTTTTCCTTTTTTCCATTAACTTTTTTGTTCTGCTTCTTCTGTCAGTTTTTCGTTATACATATTGGACAGCCGTTAAATATGCATGGATATGTATCATCTTTTAACTCTGGATGTTTTTTTTGGAATTCTTAAAATCGCCCCATTTTTATCCATGAATACATGAATACATCTTCATGCACAATCATATCTTTGCAAAAATTGCAGTTTTTGCACTGTATGCGGTAAAATATTTCATATTATGTTAGCATATTAATTCAAATAAATTTATTCTTACTTCAAAAATAATAAATAAAGTCATATTTCAGAAGTGAAATACTTGCTAACATGCGATTTGCACTGATTTCGGAAATATGATTTTTTTAAATATATGAAATGCATAACTTAATAACTTACTTTATAGATTAGTTTCATTTAAAAATATTTTGCTATAATATTTATAAAAAAATATTTTAAGTATTAATTATTTTAACAAAATTTTAAGCAATAATTTAGCACGTATTTTTAGTACTAATTAAATTTAATAATTCAAAAGTATTTATATTAAATTGATATTTCATTAGATGAATCTACCTTAGATTAATATATTTAGATGAAATAAAGCAATGAAACATTGCAAAATAAATCTTATGCGGACTTCAGATTTTTGAAAGGGCAGATTTAGCCTCTTTTTCATTCTAAAAGTAACACTGATGAATTATGGAAAAAATGCTAAAATGACCACGTCTAAAAGCGGTCATATCATGACATTTCAGCGACAGTGACGAATTGCCAAGATGCAACGGCAAATATATTGCGTTGTAAAGACGTCGTAAAACCACTTTGTCTATGACCACTTTGCAATGTCTTTGCTACGTCATGGGCTACTTGGGGTAAAACCCTAGACAGTAAGTGCACAGCGAGATGCTAGTCTGTGTTGATGCCGCTGCTCAAGGGAAAATGTCGAAGTGAGTTCCGGCGCAAAACGGTATTATTCCATCAAGATAATGCAAGACCACATGTGTCTGCATTCACTGGCTGAACCCTGTATGGGCTCAAATGGGATCTTTTGCCCCACCCACCATACAACCCTGACATCGCTCCTTCTGAGTAATACCTTTTTTCACACCTGCAGCTACATCTTGCTGGTGCTATCTTCTATTCTGCACAGGACATCCGAAATGAGGTTGATCTGTTTTTGGACTCGCAGCCAACAAGTTTCCGGGCCGAAGGCTTTAAAAAACTACCAAAACGTTGGCAGAAAATCATAGGTTTGGGTGGTGATTACTATCTGCAAAGGTACTGCTTTCATGTTGTTGTTTTTTTCCTAACTTTATTAAGACTGTTTTTTCGGTGGAAAAACTTTCGTTACAACCAGATATTATCAAAACCATTAGAAATAAAATAAACCTCTGACTTACATCAAAATCAACTTACAAACTGCATTCGTCATAAGTTGAGGATTATTAGTACTTGAAAAATCCAAAATAAATCTCTTACTAAAAAATCTATTGTTTCTTATTCATTATCATGCATAATAATAAGATACATAATCTTCGACAGGATCGGAGAGATACGCATTCCAATAATGCTACATGTTGTAAGTATCAACAGACAAGAATATTACTCATATTACTGCTCTTCAGGGATTTTTCTGGTACATTTAAAAGCCAGACGAAGGCTGGCAGCATAGCTGCTAATAATTAATAAAATGAGAATTGCTAGATAAATTTTATTTTAAAAATTTGTTAAATGAATATAATTCTATCATATTACTATAATAAAGTATTACTTTATGAAATAAAAATCTTAAGTCATGGGTCTAAATTTTGGTTAATAAACTTAATTTACCATTTGCATAAAAATAAATTTCATGGAATTTACCCTGTTGCTATACATCAAATATCACAATTTAAAACTTAAAATAACTTAAAAATTAAAATTTTATCCACCCATTTATCGTGATCTCTGTTTATAAATGCTTTAAAAGCTTTCACACATATATTTGCTTTTTTAATTAAGAATCATTAATATATTACCTATTACAGGAACCTGAGTTGGAGTTTAAGCTAGTTTCTTCAATAAGCTTTTCTGTTTCTTTAATCTTAAGTTCTGCAGTCCTTATAGCGTCTTCGATGCTCTTTTGTTTTTTCATTAGATCAACTGTTGTTTCATCATAGTCTGTAATAAACATATATTAACAAATCAATTAAAAAAACTAAAATTTTTAAAACTTAATACTGATACCTGCAGAATTTCAAATAGGCTAAAAAATGAATATGAAATGTTGCTACATAATCACCCATAAGAAATTAACATGATCATATTATAATAATTAGTGTTAAGATTCATTATCCCTATATTAACTAACACACATAAGAATAAACATTTTTAAAGCCATTTTCTGCATTTTTTTTTTCAGATATCAGCATTGCAGTACGCGATCATACCATAAAATATGAAATGTATAAATACTGCTAAGTGTATAAATACTGCTTATTTATATACTATTTAAGGAAGCTAAAACTTGAAGGGTTTGTCTCTGACTTGGGTAATTCAGAGTTTCTCAAACTATGGTAAGACGTACCTTTAATGGTACATTGTATTACGTTTTGTGGTTTTATTTTTATACAAAAGTGTTCCTTTTTGTACATATATTGACCTCTAAAATTAAATTAACTAAATTTAGCCTTAATATGTATTTTTCATGCAGGATATCTCAAGATTAACATGACTTCAATTACTTGCTTTTAAAATTTCAGCAATGTTTTTTTTCAGCAAGTTTAATGTTAGTAAATACTGATGTCTAAGAATGGAGTTTGTAGTTAATGCTATCATGCTTTTAAGCCTCATTCCTACAAAAACATTTGTGTTATCTAATGCATATTTTGCTTTCCATTAAAGCCACATTTCAAATTTGTTTTCTTTCTGTGCATAGTAGGAAGGTATTCAATTTGAACAATTTATTTGGCAGAAATAAATCGTAACATAATTATCAGCATGGATAAAAAAAAAAGCAAATTTATCTCAAATGCCCTAATTTTTCATCAGTTTTACTTGTAGATTTTTGTTATATGGTTATGTTAATAAACATATATTCACTAGCTAAGAGAATAAAACTAAGCAACATTGTTTGTTTTGCCCATGCATAGAAAAGTCTTAAATTCTTGCTTTACTGCCATAAGAAAATAGGGCTAATATTAAAAACTATAAGTGCAAAAATCTTATTTATCTCAACATTCATGGAACACACCTATCCCTGTATGTACATGGAAGATAGATTCCGCACAAAACTGTGTAAATCGAAATCTTGGATTTTGCTATGTAAAACAAAAAACGCACTAAATGTGCATTATTTAGTTATTTGTTTACATAAAACAAAAGTAAGGCATCTTAAAATAAATAAAGTTATACTTCATTTATAAGATAATAAATATAGTACGTAATAGGTAATAAATATAGTACGTATAGGTAACAGAAGTACATATTTAATTTATTTTATATTAGGATGCAATATCTACTTGTTTATTTTTTGGTGCGACAGCTGAAGTATGTGTAGGAACCACACAGGAGAAGGGTTAAAAGAATCCTCCCTTTATTAAAACTATTTAAAACTCTATATGCATTGACTTGATGCTAAGAAACTCAAATAACAAAACATAAGATCATTAAAAAAAAAGTTTAATCACTGTCATCACTTTCCTGAACTATTAGTATTTTCTTCTTGATTAGTATGAATTCACTTTCATTACTTGAGCATTTTTGATACGATTGTGCTACAATTTCTGACGAATTAGAGAAGATCTCAGATAGACAGGGCTTTGTAGTGAAATCCGTAATTAACAATTGCCTAGGAATTTTTTTCCTAAATCTTCTTAAACCTTCTCTTATTGATTTAAGCACTTACTAAGCTCTCATTGGAATGGAAGAGCTCGTTCAACATTCGTGTCGTATTGTAAAAAGTGATACCGAATTTTCTTCCCAATTCAAGTTCTTCATTGATGACTCTTGCTATGAATGCAACCGGTCAAGATTGCTCTTCATCAGAATCATTGTCTTCATCATGTTTATTTGCTTCATGAATCATGTTAACTAACTTCTCATTTAGTTCTTCATCAGCCATTATTTCATTTATCAATTAATGCATTATCAATTAATAAAAGTGCTTTAAAAGGCAACTCCTTTTTACTTAAATAATTTTTGCCATGTTATGAAACCATTCATTGAAAGCTATGGCAGTGACCCATGCTTTGTATCCAATAAATGGGAAGGTTATTTATGTTTATTCCTTTAAATGAACGTGGTGTTTTTGATTTGTTAATAACCAATGGTTTCATAATATAATCGTCTGAAGTGTAGCAACAGAAAATAATTGCTATAAGACTTTTCGCTACCTTATGACCACTAGCTGATTTGCAAGCTTTAGCTAAATAGTTTCTTTCAGGCACTTTTTTCCAGAACAACTCGGACTAGTTGGCATTGCAGATCTGATTAGAAGTGCAGGAGTTCACGTCGATGAATTCAGCAATTTTTGCTGAATATTGTTGCACTGCATCTGAATCAGCAGATGCACCTTCTCCTTTCAATCTTAGATTATGTAAATAATGTCTTTGTTTAAATCTCCCAAACCAACCATGACTTGCAGAAATAGGTACCTTTTTTTAATCTGATGAAGTTGACAGTAATTGATTCTTAAGTGCTTTATAAATCTTTAAATCCTTATTCCTAACAGCAATAGTATCAATTGGAATCTGTTTTTGATTTTGGTCTTCTATCCATATCACTAATGCCTTTTTCATATTTTCCATTGCATCGTCTCTTACATATGAAATTGTGCTCTTACTACTGCAAGTTCCAGCTGCTACCCTTTTTCTAATAGAGTCTTCATTTTTTCTAATTGTCCTTATTGTGCCTTTATTCATGGAGTAAAATTTAGCAACATTTGTTACTCCTTCTCTATTACATAGATGATCTAATATTTTAATTTTTGCTTCTAAAGGCATAACTTTTAATTTTTTTTTCTTTTAATTTATTTATTTTTTTCAAATCTTTTGCCTTTATAAAATCTTAAAAAATTTACATAAATTATAAAAAATGCCACAAAAACTATAAATGTTGAAAACTTGCTAGTAAACATTCAGATATGTAGATAAAAATGATGTAATCCTTGCTGCTAAAATACTGATACTGCATTAGTTCACATGAACCAAATAGCTTTACTGTTGTGAAATACATACACATACTATTCCCCTTTTACTACATGGGGAATCCCCATTCTTGTTGTTGCCACCAGTGTTACCAAATGAATGAGATTCAAAAAATGACTTCAAATACAGTCAAAAGTCGTTAATCCGGACTCGTCGGGACTTCGGCGATTCCGGATTATAGATCATCAGTTTAAATCTCGTAAGATAGCATGCAGAAATTCTAAAATTAAAAATATGAAACCATAATTTATGAAATAAAGAACAATTATGATCTAAAGAGTATCAAAAAAAAAAAAAAAAAAAAAAAAAAAAAAAAAAAAAAAAAAAAAAAAGCTTAATATTTATTTGTTTACTTTAATAAACATTTCTTTCAATGTAAGTTGTTTAAGTTGCTTCGTTTTATGTGATAATACTTTCTCTTTAATTCTATAAACAGACATAATTTCTTGTTCAGTTACGAAGTTCCACTGTTCAAGTCCCGTAATTGCTGTGCCGAGAATACCGACTAATTTGTCAATCGAAATTTTTTCATTTTCACTAACCGCTCTGTCACCTTCTTCATGTCTTTATCCATTTTTTGCAGCAATTCCACTTTTTGTTTGATGGATATCAAAACATACTTTTCGTTTTGTAGATCGTTTAGGAGCTCCAGCATCGAAAATTCTATTTGATATAATCGCAAGTTCAAGTTTACTTTTATAGTATTGCTCTAACAGTCTGCAAAAAATAATAAGCCGGATCCAATTCGAAAATTAAAGAACAACACAATCATAAACATTAACTGAAATAGATAATTAGCTTATTCCATCCGTTATACATAAAACGCGCACGCGAAAAGATATTCTGCACTTGCGCACACGCATATGCGCAGACGTAAAAGGTCTTACGCGCACGCGTAAACGCCTATGCTCATGTGTCAACGCGGCGCATGCACAGAAAGTTTTTAGCCTTGAGGTCCGGATTATGGGTGTCCGAATTAACGACTTTTGACTGTATATGTATTTGCATATATGCAGCCAAATATAAATTTTTTACCAAGTTTTTGAAATCCGTTAATTTTTAAACGTTTAAATCAAGGGATAGGTGTATGCAGCACATTTTTTAATTGGTAAGGTTAAAATTACAGCTAAAAGAAACTAATTGTTCATTTATTTGGCTATGGTAAATCAGGAGAAATGCATTATATGCTTATGGCAAAGCATTACCTCTTAAGGTGAGGGATGTCATTATGGACAGCTTTCTAAGAATAACTAGCTCGCATAATCTTTATACATAAGAAAACCCAAGCAGCCAGCCCATTCAGCAGGATTGAAACTTTGGTTGAATCCCCAAAATTTAGTAATGAAAAATACTCAGCCACTGGTGGGTCCTAGATAACTAAATCCATTGAAAATACTTGGCATTTTCTGGTTTTTCTGGTGGTCAGTGATTAATGGTTAAATTGGTGGCATTTATTGCCAAATTAAAATTAACTCGTAACAGGGGAGGTGTGATAATAATGATGTGCCAAATGTGATGATAGAAGTGTGTGGTCTAAAAGAAATATGGAATTAAAGTAACTTACCCCCAAAGGATGACACTTCAAATAATGTGAATTACAGGGGTGTTTGTGGGACCCCAAAAAATCCCCTGAAACTTTTACGGACTTACTACCGACATTTTGGAGTTTTCGAGAAGGGAGGGGGGAGAGAAATGAAAAATTACAATTATGAAGTATTGAATGACCTAATTATAAAAGTTCAATGAATTACTTTTTTTGCAAAATTAATAACCATAAATTTTCAAACATATAAACTACTACATTTTATGTAAATATTTTAAATTACCTGAATTAATTCTTTAAAAAAAATTATCTAATTTCTGCTGCTTTTTTTTATTTCTGATGTTTGTGGGCTTGTCTTTCTTTTGTGGTGAACTTCATAATTGCAGAAAGGTTGACATTTTTTTTCCTCATTTACAGTTGAAGAAATTTCT